ATTTTACCAGCTTTGGTCAGTAAGACAAGGAGGACAACGGGACCAGAAGCCACAGTGTCATTGTGTGTGCCAGTCTGAGGGACGCTGTTAATATATTTCAACATTGTTTTAAATATTGTTTTAAAGCCAGTCCTGACACACTGAGGTTGCTTCTCTCCAAGCTTCAGCCTTGAGAGCAATGGCATTGTCCCTCTCCCACAGCTCTCTCGAGGGACAGAAAAAAAAGAGGATGTGATAAGAGGAGTGAGAGGTGTAGATGGACTGCCATCATGTGGCCCTGCTGCCCACTGCTTCTGCAGAGAGAGAGGAAAAGCTGACCCACAGAGGGCTCACCTTACACTGTTCTACACTGCATGGTGGGTGGTGCAGTGATGCTACCATATTATAATATTAATAGTTGAGCTTAAATTATTAATATTATACTTTCAAGTTCATCATCAAGTTCATTTTAATTTTAGTTAAGATTTAGTAATTTTGTTGTGCTTTTATAATTTATATTAGTATTTGTTTTTTTATATTTATATATTTTTTATATTTATTATTGAACTGCATCAATCTATACTGACTACACACACACACATGTACATATATATTTGTGTGTGTTTGTGTGTAGTGTTGTTGTAGTATTATATTATAGTAATAACATTTTAAATTAGATTTTGTTTTCATATTTTCAGTTGTCATTTTAGTTAAGTTTTAGTAACTGTTTTTTTATTTCTATTTAGGTTTTATTTTTATTTCAATTTTAGTTTTATTCATTTTAGTACTTAGTTAATTTCAGTTTTTGTGAATTTAGTGTGTGTGTGTGTGTGTGTGTGTGTATATATATATATATACTCATACTTAAAATCTTTTAATTTATTTGATTCAAATATTTCATCACTGCATAATAAAGTGGTATTGATTTAGTAACAGCTCTGCTGGAGTTTATTCAGTGAAGGATCCATCAGACTAATTTAAACAGTAACTCTAAGAGTTTGTGAGTAAATATATGTTGATTCAATATATGTGAATCAGTATATGTTTTTGATACACTAAAAGTACCTATTATTTATTAATCAGACTACACTGATTGCGCTGTATGTTTTGATTTGCTAAAAAGAACTGGTTTGTTTGAATCAGACTTAACTGTTTGTCCTGTAAATTGAGTGCAGCTCCCAGGACAAGATATGTTTTCTTGCTATTATTTCTTGGTATACAACCATTTTGTCTTATCACATTAAGTTTGAACTGCAAAATATGACTTCTTTTGCCATGGCGCTGTAGATTCAGCAGCATGAAATAACTTTATCCCATGGTAAAATATGAATCCGGTATCCATGATTATGTGAACCCGTTCTAAGTTTAAAAGCTACTGCTTCCATTATTCTTCAAGTTCTTTGTAAAAAAAACAAAAAAAAAACAAAGGAAAAATACTGTTCTTTTTTCTGTTCCTCACTTCAAGATAAACTAGTTTTGCACTTGGAGCCTAAATGATGAAGAATGAGCGTCAAATTCATAATTTCGAAACTATCGAGTTTTCAGATAGATTTAGGTGAAACCCTGTTCAGCTTCACTACAGTCGCAGTTGTCACATTCATCAAATCTGTCGACAGGTTGAGATGGTAAAAGACTCGGGCCTCGACAGCCTCTCTGTGGTGAGATCTCCCGTGAGGTTTCCTCTCTGACAGATGGACCACTCATTGACCTCCACTGTCTGTTTCTGCTAAAGGCAGCATGGCCAAAATGTCACCTGTCCATTCATAATTCATACAAACCCAAATAAACAAACATCCCATTTTAACTTATATTTGATGGGCTTTTGTCACAAAGTAAGAATCAGTCTTTCAAAGATTTTTGAGCGTTCTTGTCATGATAATTTATGGGTGACAATTTGTTCTCCAAAAACAAGAACTTATTTGAGAACTACTGTGTTATCATCTCATGTTCAACAGACAGTCACATAGCCGAGGTGTAAAGTTTGAATATGTGCAAAGGAAAATAAAATAATTTTGATAACATAAATATTGGCTTGTTCATAACATAAAGCTGTTGTATAACTTCAAAAGACTTGAAAAGTATAGCCAAGATTCATACAGACTACTTGAAAGGTGTTTTTTTTTCCATCTTTTTCAGAGGTCAATAGCTTCAGTCCCCATTCACTTATATTGCACAGAAAAAAAACAGCTTGGTCATTCTGCTAAACATCTCCTGTTGTGTACCACACATAAAAGTCAGAGTTTGGAACAACATGAGGGTGAGTAAATCAGTTTCCAGTGAACCTTTCTTTTAAATGTAATTAGAAATTAGCAATGAGCAAGTAGTACACATTTCTTTCCCTGTCTGCCTCATTTTCCCTCTCCACACTCCAGTCAGCTGGAGTAGTGAGCTATTCGTCTTTGCACTGGTCTGAGAGGTGAAAGTTTGAGTGTGTAAATCATGAAATGTGCTGTGTGTGTGAGGTTTCAGACTGTGGGCTTTTTGAGGGGATGGCTTTTACATTGTGTTTAGCTCAGAGTCAGACCTTGTGAGATGTAGGCATCACATGTGTCACACTTCCACTCATTCTCCTGTCTCTCTTTCTCCTCTCCTGTTTTCTGTCCTGTCTCCCTCGATCTAAAGGCACAGTGGCCTATATATATTCTCACTCTATGCTGTTAAGATTGTTGCTTTTTTAGAGCTGGATTGCTTTGATTTTAGATTTCATATTCTTAAACATCTCTTTTTTTTAGTGATTAACTGATGCTTTGGTTGACATTTTATTATTCATTGCAATGACAGTCTTGCATTTTTTTTCATGTGACTTGCATTTTGGGGCCACTGTACATTACCTTTTCAATGTTTTGGATCATTCTGACTAAATGTTGTTAGAGTAGTCTGATATGCTGACCAAAACTGTAGTAAAAACAGCAATATTGTGAAATATTATTACAATTTAAAAGAACTGTTTAATATTTTAATATATGTGGCCCTGGACTACAAAACCAGCCTTAAGTCACTGGGGTATATTTGTAGCAATAGCCAAAAATACATCGTATGGGTCAAAATTATAGATTTTTCTTTTATGCCAAGAATCATTATAGGATATTAAGTAAAGATCATGTTCCATGGAGATATTTTGTAAATTTCCTACCGTAAATATATCAAAACTTAATTTTTGATTAGTAATATGCATTGCTGAGAACTTCATTTGGACAAATTTAAGGCGATTTTCTCAATATTTTGATTTTTTTTTTGCACTCTCAGATTCCAGATTTTCAAATAGTTGTATCTCAGCCAAATATTGTCCCCTAACAAACCATATATCAATGGAAAGCTTATTTATTGATGTATAAATCTCAATTTTGAAAAATTGACACTTAAGACTGGTTTTGTGGGCCAAGGTCACATATTTAAAAATTTTATTGCAATGGCAAAGGTGAATTTTCAGCCGTCATTACTCCAATCTTCAGTGTCACATGATCATTCAGAAATCATTTTGATATGATGATTTGGTGTTCAAGAAACACTTATTTTCAGTGCTGAAAACAGTCGGGCTGCTTAATATTTTTGTTGAAGCTATTTTTTAGGATTCTTTGATGAATAGAAGAACAGCGTTTATTTTAAATAGAAATCTCTTGTAACACAATAAATGTCTTTACTGTCACTTTTGATCAATTTAACTCATCCTTGCCAAATAAAAGTATAAAAAAAAATAAATAAATAAAAAAAGATCTTACTAACCCCGAAGTTTAAAATTGTCCTTGTGTGTGAACTACAACAAAAGGTTGTGCAACACACTAAAATGGCATTTTGGCATTTTCTAACATTTATATAAATATTCAGATGAACAAGATTGGAATCATTACAGCTGTGTTTCTCTCAGAAAAATGGCATCACTCTGAACTACGGCCCCCCAAAAAGCATTTGAGCCCCAGAGAGGTGACACTTTAAAGCCCTTAGGCAAGGCGTCTGGACTGATATGGTGAGCAGAGAAATGTGAATTAGAAATTAAGGCTTTTCGAACACTGAACACAGACACTTCTGACTTATATAAGAGGCGTATTGTCCATTATAGAGGTCCTTTATGAATTAGTTTGTGTGTGTGTGTGTTAATGTGCAGGTCTCAGGTGTTTATCCTCTAGTGTTAAAACGCAGCTGTTTGAGAGACTTTTTCAGCGTTCGCACAATGCTAAGCCATCCATTAAAATGCTAAGCCATCCAGTAGGATCATAACTCTTGGCCACTTGAAAAGAAAGTTGTTTATGTTTGACAAGCATTACATTTGTGTATATGCGCATTGTGAGAATTGAATGTTTTTGTATTAATGTGAATTTTCTGTATGCGAGTACTGTTTGATATACAAAAAAGCAAAAAAAAAAACTCTGTGAGACATGCCAGTTAACACCAGTTAATGTTCATTATTGTAGTTTAAAAGAGAAGCAAGATTCAATAGCATTTGATGTCCTTACAAAGATGCTGCTGTTTTCCATTAGTCAGAATAATTAGATACCTTCATAATCATAATCATTTTAATGAATAGAATAAAAAGGACATACTATTAGGCTAGTCATTGGTCTGAGTGACCATCCAGTGACCATTCACCAAGATGTTTTCTTCAGATTTGTACACTACCATTCAAAGGTTTGAGGTCAATTAGTACTTTCAGTCAGCAAGGACATATTAAATACATAAACTTGACTGTAAAGTCTTTTACATTATAAAAAATTCTATTTTAAATAAATGCTGTTCTTTTGAACATTCTATTAAAGGATCTTGGGGAGAAAATGATCAGAGTTTACACAAAAATACTAAGCAGCACAAATGTTGTTCAACTGTTTGTTTTTGATAATAATAAGTGTTCCTTGAGCATCAAATTAGCATATTTCTGACGGCTCATGTGACACTGAAGACTGAAGTAATGACTGCTCCAGCATTGCCATCACAGGAATAAATTATTTTAAAATATCAAAACAGAAAAGTTATTTCAAATGGTAATCGTTCACATTATTACTGTTTTATTCCAAATAAGTGCAGCCTTCTTCTGACTTCCAGACTTCTTTCAACATTATAAAATCTTACGGACCCCAAACCTTTGAAAAGTCATGTACATCTTTGTTTTCAATCACACATCACACTTATAACATCAGGATTCAGATTACATTTCTATCGACTTGAACCATGTTGCAGTTCCTAGAAAAAGTTTACAAACAATGCTTTTCTTTTCTTGCCTGTTAGGGAGTGGTAATTTTGGACCGTCGAAAAAATCAGATCTCTACTACCACCACCTGCCCAAAACAAGGTAGTACTACATAAGGACCAACAAAAGTGCCGATGTGTTTGTAGCACCAGCAAATAAATCACCATACGACATACCAGAGAGAAAGGAGCAACAGATTTTAGAATTGGTAAATTGATTATTCCTTTTTTAATTGAAGGTTTACCATTTTCTTTATTTTATAGAAAATGGAGGGAAAAAAAAGAAATTGCCTTTTACAAACATTTACAAATAAATGACAAGTGGCTGTACAAATAAGAACTGAAGGAGAAAGACAAAAAGAAAGGAGGCAGGGAGAGTTGGATCACCACTTATAGCAACTTTTAGTTGTCCAGTTTCAAGATGACTGCCATGCACACTTTGTGCTTGATCAAAATTATCCCAAAATGTGTTAACATCATAATTCATTAATGTATTTATCAAATTAATTCTAAAAAATCAACATTATTTTTGCCCATTTGAATTAGTGTCCATGTCTGTGTTTAAGATAGTGCTGTCAGTAAAGCTAAGGCAGACTGTTAGCACATGTACAGGCCAGGAAGGGGTCAGGGGTGAAACATCAGGAAGTCAAAGGTGAAGTGCTATTTCAAGCGCAGCAATTCGAGCTGATCCTGGTACTCAGTGAAGAGTCTCTGGAACCGCAAGTTCTGACCAATCACAGGCATCACCTCTGTCAACAGATCCCTCTTTCTCAGTCCCTGAAATGGACACAGAAGACAGTGCAATCTTTGAAAATGATTTTGAATGACGCTTTGGTTTTATCAGTAAATGCAACAACTATACCAATAACAAATCTGTAATTAAGTTCCAGAAAAATTCATACCAGGACTGTCGGCTCCCAGGAGCTGCTACTGGATTTGTGAACTGGTCCCAGTAAATCCTGACATAGTTCCCTTAACCTCTGCTCATAACCTTCACAGATACACACAGAGTTATTGTAAATCTGTTCCGATTACGAAACAAACACATCTTTATCTATGATGGCCTGAGGGTGAATACATTTTCAGCAAATTTATAGTTTTCGGTGAACTATTGCTTTATTTCTAATAGACCCTCTTGACTCTTTTTACCAGCTGACCACCTTCTCACTCACCCTCGTTTACGAGGAAACGTGCGTAGATGAGAAGCCAGTGTCTGTACTCGCTTGCTGAGAGGAGGATGAGGGCGGAGGAGAGCTGGTTCTCCAAGAAGGCCAGAGTCATTCCCTGCTGCAAGTGGTGAGGAGTCGATGAAAAGCGAGATGCCAACCGCCCCGCACTGAGAGAGACAGAAGCGAGACGGTTAAGGCCTGTTCACCCCAAGAACGATAACTATAAAGATAATGGGCTATCCTTTTCAATGTTCAAGCTCTTTAAAATTAGTAATTCCGACAATATTGTTCTACTATGTTGTTATCATTAGAACTGTAGTGTGGACTTGTCCCTTTTCTCATAAAATTAGTATTAAAACTAATTATAGTGATCATGAATCTGAAAGCAGCATTAGCAAAGTCTGTTACCTTAGATTACGGCTCTGTGTGAGAGCCAGTGGCCCCATGGAGCCCAGAGCATCCTGAGAGGTCAAGCAATTGCGGAAGTCTGCACACTGTACAAGAGAGTCCTGCTTATCTGCGATCAAATTCCTATTAGAGGTGTAGAGAAAGGACACAAAATATCAGAGGCAGAACAATCATAGTGGCCCTGAAAATTATTTGGACAGTTTCTGGTTGTTAGATGTTAAAACTTCAATTAACACATGGTTTGTGTATCACTCACCAGGTCTCCAGTGATGAGTTGAAACAGTAGGTTTTGCCATTTGACAGCGAAACCACAGGTACACCTTGCTGAGTCAAAAAAGACTGACTTACTGTAGCGTCTGTGCCTGGAGTGAGAAAGAGATAAGGTATTATTATATTTCAACTGATTTATGATAGTTCATTTGTCTAATTAGTGCTGCCCATCATTTTGTCAGACAAACTTCTGCTCTTCTCATGTAATTCAGCAGTTTTGTGTACCATTGAAAAGTTTTGGTTCAGTAAGATTTTGAAATGTTTTTGAAAAGTCTCTTATGCTCACCAAAGCTGTGTTTATTTGATAAAAAATGGCAAAATATCACCACAATTTATAATAACTGTTTTCTATTTGAATACACTTTAAATAGTAATTTATTCCTGTGATGGCAAAGCTGAATTTTCAGCAGTCAATATTCTTTTGGTGGTCTTCAGTGTCACATGATACTTCAGAAATCATTCTAGTATGCTGATTTTCTGCTTAAGAAACGTTTCTTATTATCAGTGTTGAAAACAATTGTTGTGGAAACCGTGATCAATTTTTTCAGGATTCTATGAAGAATGGGACGTTTAAAAGAAATATTTTTTCAGCCCATGGAATAACATCCAATCAATTTTAGAACTTTATGAACAGTAGAACTCAAGATGGGTGGTGTTTAACGAAGAGTCAATTAATAAGGTCAACATAAAACTATAAAAAGAAAGAAGATCTCAATTTATTAAAGAAAGAAAACAAAATCCCACCTGATAAGATTGGATTCAGAGATTCATTTTTGACCAAAGCTGTCTGTTTCTGAACATCCCTGCAGAAAAGAGACAATACCAGCCATTTAACATCATGTCAGATCTAGATCTTTCAGAATTTATGTAAATAATCACTGGCCTTTAAAAAAAAAAAGGCACAAATCAACCTGACTCCTGTTATAAATACGGCCACGTTTTTAGCATCAGTCAACAAATGACTTGTCTGGACTTTTCTATTGAGAAACATAGAGGAAGGGTCAGTACCAGACAGACAGCGTGGCTGATGCCATCAGCGCCATGACAAAGTGTCCCGAGCAATGAAGTGCTGACATGGGGGCGGACAGAATGATGGATGGAATCAGTCTCCGTCCACATGTAGTGAAGACGGAGAGTGTGCGGTCCTCGCATGCTACAGCAACAACATCGCTATGAAAAAATAAGTTACTATTAGTACCTTGATTTTACATTTGTCAAAATCAGGCATAAACCAGTGTGTTTTAACACGCGTTGTGTGCTCACCTGCTCCCGGTTGCTATGATGATGCGACTGGTCAGCAGCATGTCCCACTCTCGCCCCTCTCTGCTCCATTTGAGCTGACTGAGACGAGCTCCAGACACCACAGAGACCTCGTTCTCCACCTCCAGATACGTGATGGCGTCTGTACTCACCTAAACACGCAGGTTAAAAAGCCCATGAAATCAAAATGACCGTTTTGTGGATTTTAGTCCATGTTTTTATTATAAGCTGATTTAAGTTCTCTAATAGCAGGGTCATTAACCAGGCTGGTTTTTCATGCAGAAATGGTATTGAGTCTATGTTTGAATTACATTACATTTAACACTTTTATAGTACTTGAGCTTGCTGATTACACATTATGATCTGCCGAGAGCGTTCATTGCATGCACAGGACTGATTTCTTGGGTGTAGACAGTTTTTGAGTCATACCTGAGTGCTAAATGACTTCTGTATGGATGGGGTAGGAAGTTTTAACACCGCTACAGGTGTTGTTAATCGAGACGGCTCCTTTTCCGCTGAGACTGGAGTCTACAAGAGAAAAGACCAGTCAAAAGTCAGTCAACAAACTTCGTCTTTGATGCGCACTGACATCACATGGGTTCTAATGAAGGACTCTCAGGGTTTCTTATGTGCCATGGTCATTAAGGTAATGGAAAGATAATGAAAGCTATAGAGATTATAGTATAGAGGTCATAGTCAACTAGTGTCCATTTTTCTTATATATTTGATATATAATATAAAAAAGTTGTATAAAAATAAACATACATTCATATAGTACTCTTCACAAGTTTAAGTGTCAGTAAGATTTCTTTTATTCAGCAAGGATGTATTAAATTGCTCAAAAGTGGCAGTAAATAGATTTATATTTCAAATAAATATTGTTTTATTATTTTATTAAAGGAAAAAAATCAGTTTCCACAGAAATATTAAGCAGCACAACTGTTTTCAACATTGACAATAATAAATGTTTCATGAGCATCAAGTCAGCATTGATTTCTGAAAGATCAAGTGACACTGAAGACTGGAGTAATTCAACTTAGCATCACCAAAATGAATTACGTTTTTAAAATATTAAAATAGAAAAAAGTTATTTAAAATTGTAATAATATTTCACAGTTACGGTTTATTTTCTGATACACAAATGCAGCCTTGGTGAGTCTTATCAAACCCAAACTGTTGACTGGTACTATGCAATATGTATGAAAATGCTGTATATACATAAATATTTATTTATGAATATTCATATTCATAAATTATATGTAAAAATGGTTTCTTTATATACTTCAAATATTTTTAGCAGCTGTGCTTTAGCAGTTACACCGTTTTCACAGATCTGAACAGGCCTGATCAGTCGACGTTGAAACTGTTGTCTCGAAAGAAGAAATGTCACCTGTGGGAAGGGCTGTGATATGGGCATCATCATTTTGGCATCTTTTCTTGGCCTTCCCTTCTTCCTCTTTTCTACCACCTCTGCTCCCTCCATCTCTCCCTTCCTCTTGGCCATAGATAGCGATTTCACCATGCCCTTGTCCTCACTATCGCTGCTGGTTTCATCTTTTCCTTTCGGCTCCTTCACAGAGCTGCTGTCTTTTACCCTGAGATAGAACCACAAAACTTCAGTTTGTTTTTAAGTTCAGTTTAGAAGAGACACCAGGCAGTTATCATGTAGATTTTATTACCTGTCAAGTGGGGTGATGCCTATAGTGAGGGGTACACTAGTGACCCCTGGCGTGGCCTTTGACCTTTCAGTAAATCGCGAATCCAGTGCTTTCATGGGCTCGATCTTGGAGGCAGATGTCAACAGCAGATTCGATTTCATACCGATCGAATTTACAGCTGCAGGTCCACTAAAAAGAGAGAAATTAGATTTTTACAAAGTATTGGTTGAGAGAGAGGGGAAATGGGACATTACATACATGTAAACTTACCTGTCCTTGTTCTCTTCTGCAGTTTTGTTGGGAGAGGTGGTGGTGGGGTCATGGGAGGGTCGCAAGCCAAGTGAGTTGGCTGTACTGGAATCCGAAGAGATCTGAGGGGTGAGCTGAGTCGATGTAGACGACCCCGGCAAGATTGGGACGCTGTTGAACAACGCTGGTGAGAAGTCCCTGGGTAAAAGTAAGAGACATTCAGCCACTGAATGTATGCTGTGGTATAGGTGAGTGATAATTTTAGACGTGTTGTTGTGCGTGTTCGTTACCCCGTGTCGAGCTGTGCGATGCAGAGAGGTGTGATTCTTCTCCTCCCATCTGCAGTTCTGGTCTCCACCTGCTTCTTTAAGAGGTTCTGCCCAAAAAAAAAAGAAAGTGCCATTTGTTAACAACTGCAGTCCTGCAAACATATTTTTTGGGACAAAAGTGTTAAGTGCTCTCTAAACTACTATGCTATGACCATCTTGGTATTAAATGATACATAAATATACAGATTCATACAGAGACTGAGAGACAGGCAGATGTGCTTGTAAAGTGTATGCAAATTATTTAAATGTCACCCACACATTATGTATTTGCATGTAATATGTATGTAAACTATTACAATTTTACATAACCACTCATTATGTGTATTAGGGCTGGGCAGTATGATCCGGCAATGTCTTTTAGTCCCAAAAAGTACTTGGACACTTTTGGACTCTTAAGTCACACATAAAATATATGAATTTCATTTATTTAGATACCTAAGTGTCAAACCAATTAGCATTTGGAAACAAATTATGCTAGACATGGATTTTAAATATTTGACAGAGCAGGAAACTATACTTTGTAAACTTGCAAGCCAGCCATGGCTGGAGGTGGAAATACGAGGAGCCAATCATTATTTACCATATTAACCACTTAAAAAAGACTGCTGTGTGTATCGTTACATATTCTTTCCTCTGACCTTCCTGATGTCCTCCAGGGACTCTCCGTTGAGCACATTGGTGAGTTTGGCCGTCTGGTTCTCATGACTGCTTCCCTGGGCTCCATTGGGGTTCTGGTTCCCCTGCCGTTCCTGCTGATACTTGAGCATTTCTGGGTTCTCGATAATAGTGCTGGAAAGGTGGGATTCCATAGTAATGGCCAGACTCTTTCCATAGATGTTCTGATGAATAGCATTCTACACAAATATACACAGAAATCTTATTTTCTCGCCACCTTGTTAGTTTGTGTGTGCTGAGTAACTAACTAAAAGTAGCAAAGCTTTAAGCCATTTACATTCTTTAGAAGCGTGACAGTAGCTCAGCTGTTTTTAAACAGTGTGGCTTTTCCTGTAACAAGCTATGTTTTTAAATGCTGCATCAAGCAAGCAAAGGCAAATAGCAAACACTGGAATGTCCTGTGTATCTCTTTAAGTAGGACTGGAAAATTTGAACGAATTTGCATATTTCAACAAATGGTTTAAAGAAACAATTCACATATCATTAATTAATTAAATAAATAAATAACTAAATGTGTGCAACTTAAGTGAGATTCCACTTTTTGTCTGCCAGATAAACACTGCTGAGATCTTTCAATTATATAACTGAAAAGTTATTTTTGCCTTAATATTGACTGGTGTGTGTATATTTTCTCCACCTTTTCCTCTTCATTCAAGGGATCTCCCAGTTCGTCCTGCGAGAAATCCAAGAAAGCCACAGTTCCATCCATGGAGCACACCAGGAGTCCCAGCCCATTGAGTGTCCTGAGAGATACGACCCGTTCACAATACTCTCATGCATGTAAGTTTTTACCCCACTAGAGTGTCTATGATGCTTTACAGAGTTTGGAAAACAGAAAAGCTGTTTTCTTACCATGTAATATCCATAATGGACTTATCAAAGAGGTCATGGATGACTACCAGTGGGCGCTTAAGTGAGGTGAGCTGAAAAACAAGAACAGGACAACTGATTCAAGGTGCGTCATCTTAACATTCAGAAATCACGCCCTTACACTGCATGAATGTGACATTTTTTTGTCCTCATTGAAAGAGAAATACAAGAGAATGAGAACATATCAGAACATATTTGGTTCTTAAACAGCTTTGTGGAGCCTTGGACCAATAAGGCTTCACTGTGGGAGCCCAGAGTCCAGCGTAACGGGACTGACAAAATGTATTATCATGGTTGCAGCTGGTTAGGACAAAAACTCATTAACATGGCTGAGATGTGATTTATTGCTTCATCCTGTCTGTTTTACATTGAACATTAAACAATATTTTTAAGCAAAGCATAACCACAAAATTGTTTATACTACCATTCAAAAGTTTGGTCAGTAAGATTGTTTTGAATGAAAATAATACTTTTATTTTGTTACAAAAGATTTCTGTTTCAAATAAATGCTGTTCCTTTGAAAGTTCTATTCATCAACCGAACCATGAGAAAAAATCAGGGTTTCCATAAAAACAGTTTTCAACGTTAATAATAAGTAATGTTTTTTGAACAACAAATCAGCATTTTACAATGATTTCTGAAGGAGCATGTGACACGAAGAATGGAGTAATAATTGCTTAAAATTCAGCTTTGCATCACAGGAATAAATTACATTTTAAAATATATGTTACAATAGAAAACAGTTATTTTAAATAGTACATTTTAAGATTTTATTAGTTTCCCTTGATTTTGCACAAATTTATAATTTACTTTTAATTTAATTCAGAATTTCCAGGTTTTCCCATGATCGTAGGAACTATGATCTATAGAAATATGCCTTTATGAAAGTTTTTTTTTTTTTGGTAGTGGGGCCAAACCAAGGGGTGATATTGAGAAGTCTCATACCCATACAGAGAGTGAGCGGTCCTTACTGCCCACAGCACAGCAGCAGTATGGGCAGCTGGGTTTGGGAGTACTGCCGTTCTTCTGTTTCTTCTTAAAGATCTTAGGATTGAACTTCTGCAAAGAGATGGAGAGGAACTCATAAACCACTCGATAAGAGACAAGAATCAACTTCTAGTGCTCAGCCAATTTTAAAAATCATGATGTCATCGAAACAAAAGGAAAACACTACAGTACAAACTACGATGGAGATTTCAATGCATGCTTTTCTGTGGAATATTACAGATTTGAAAACGACACTAACCACCACAGTAACAGCTTTTCGATGACCCACAAAGTCCATGTTGGTTTTCCAGCCATCGCGTTCGATGATCTGAGCTGTGGGCCCAGAATTATTCATGGCATGAGCTGAAACCAGGTACTGACCATCTGGAGACCAGCTCAGCCTCAGGACGTGTGTGGTGCCGCCACACTGAATCAAAGCACGAGAGAAGGAAAAAAGAGAGAATACAGGGTCACGCAAGTAAACAATTTAAAGAAGAAAAAAATAAACAAAATGAAAATAAGACTAACAAAAAAGTAAATACAATCCCAAACTAGCATTTCTGGTGTGCAGCTTGAAGTCTGAAGTCTTACTTCACTGAAAGGTTTGGTGATGTTTGTCTCCATCTGCCAGTCCATGGTCCTCCAGACCTTCAGGCTATGGTCATCTGCCTGGGAGGCGATGTACTTTCCAACTGGGTCCCACGTCAGGCCTTTTACCAGCCCTGTGTGTCCCTTTAAAGTCATCACAATCTCTGTGGCATACACATACAAAAGCAAATTCAAAAATGCAGTAGACAAAGCTTTGATTCAGAACTGAATATATTGATATAGAAGCCAAACCTTGCATTTAAGCCAAACTTAATACCACTGCAATATATTAAACCAAGTGGCATATGAAAAAAGAAAAAATGATGCTAGACTTTTTCTCAAATCTAAACTGACATTTCACCTGGAAATTTTCGAGCGTTCCATATAACGATGGTGTTATCCACACTGCAGGAAGCGAGCCAGACATCATGAGGTGACCAGGCGACATCCATTACATCTGAATCAGATTTATAGAGAACACCACATGTGCTTCACACAATGCCAAAATTGAAGACAATATCCAGCATCTACATGAGCAGCGTTTTCCCCCCTCACCTCCCGTGTGGTTCCTCAGAATCATGACACATCTCCACTGTTCCACATTAGCCAGTTTACTGCTGGACCCAAACATTGTGCTTGGACCTATGAAACTGCACAACAAAAGAAACACCACATAATGCCTCAAAGGCCTGTGAGTGGAATCTGTGGATGCATGAGTGGTATCGGTTTGTGTCTTATAAACAAAAAAAAGACAACAATCTGTGTAGGGGAGAAAGTACGGTAATAAGCAGTGCATTTGCACAAGTGGCATCTAGGTCATTCTGTCAACTGGTATATGGATTTAAAAATTTATTTTTTGCATCACATCCTTATTTTTAAACTTTAATATTCAAATATATTAAAATATTAATATTATTATAATAGCATTTAAAAAAAGTTATAGTTAAAAAACAACAAAAAAAGTTTTAAATGTGTGACAAAACTAAATGTTTGTTTTACTAAATCATTTCGACATGTTTGTGTTTAACTTATAAACATCTCGTTTTTTTTTTTAAATAACCCATTCATCGTGTGTGTGTGAAGGGAGAAATGAAAAGACAGCGATACACAGAGCGGGTCAGTTTTACTCACGCAGCTCTCTTCCACACCATGACCAGTTTGTCGTCTCCTCCTGACGCCAGGTATAAGCCATTATTTGACCAGCGCACGCAATTCACACATGCTGAAATGTACAAAGTTACATAAAACATTTAATTAGATGCTGAATATTCATCAGTGTCACACATTCCGTCTCCCATTCTGTCAGTGCAGCTCACATCCAAAGGAGTTTAAAATACATTTAAGTGACAAAACATAATCTAGACACCATCTCTGAATTGTTCTTTTGATTGTTGGGAGCAAAATATGTGGTATAAATGCAACAAAATCGAGTCTTGAGAGAACAATAATCCACAACATTTGTCTTTATTCATATATTTTAATCTTGAATATAGAGATAAAAAAAATATATCAAGTAACACCTAAGTGATTGTCCATCTGACAAAGCAATTTGGGAATATTCTCATTCTTCTCATCCTCCTCTCGAAGAACCGGGGCCATATTCCAAATGACCACTTTCCCAGAGTCCTCACCTGTCAATCAACATTGAAAATTTTAGCTCCCAACGACACATTTGTCACTAAATTAGGATGGAAATAAAACTACCTTCTACAAACTAAGCTTCATCTGAAAGCTAAACTAGAGTCAGCAAAAGAATGACAGATGTTAGAGGGTTTAGATGGTCACCTTGGCCACCTGTAGCAAACTTAGTTCCATCAGGATGGATATCAACTGAGAATATTGGTTTACCTGAAAACAAAAACACACTTATAACACAAATACAGTTTGAAAACACATCTCTAACATTGTCAAAAAACATATGCAATAATAGCAAACAACAAATGTATACAATACATAAAATGCACGATTCCAAAGCAGGTTAAATGAAATGCAAATAAGGCCACATTAGCATATAGCATACATAAAGACAAGTCACAAGTTCAATTTAACCTGTTAATTATTGCCAGATCATCTCTTAAATAACACAATTGGCTCATCGACCCATGTCAGAGGTCTGCCTGTCTTTTGCAACTTCAAAATGGGTGGTGTGCACATCATATATTCATGGGTGGCTTCTTAAAAACCAGCCAAGCTAAAAAAAAATGTAAAAAAACAGCCGGTTACTATGATTCTTATCGCGCTAAAACGTGCAGAAGAGTATCCGATCGTAAGAGCAGCAACTGAAGTCACGCCGGAAGTTCGCCGTCTTCTTCGAAGTTCCCTTGGAAACAAAGAATCAACTTGTGTGTTCCTTATTTACATTAATTCACTTGGCAGAAACGTAATCCAAAGCGATTTACAAATGAGGAAATCACATACAAAAGCGACTAAATAATAGCAGCGCTACATTACATAATTTCAGAAGTATACCACAGTAAGGCTGAGGTCAATAACAATAACGAACCACGATATTAGCACGTTTTGGACATGTAGCATAGTTATGGTATTGGTATGAAATAACATAATAGCAAGATGCTATAACTGGTGACAAAATTGAAAGCTGGCTTTTTTTAATAGACCCAGGTTCTTTCTATCTATCTATCTATCTATCCCCATTGTTCCGTTTTGACATCTGCAGTTCACAGATTTAGCATATTTTATTCGAAATTCTTATAAAAAAATAAAACATTACTTTTTGTTTATAGAGGAAAACGTTTGCGAAATTATAAACAAGGATTCAAATTTTCATTAAGGACAGTAAAATTAATTGCCATGTCAAATACGCACGTACAGAACTGAGTAATGGTTAGATTACAGAAACCTTTTAAAAACATATTTTGAGTGGAAAAGCGCAAAATAAAGCTTAAAAAAAAAGAAGTAATGCTTTATAAAACTATTTTACAGCTTCCCACTGGGTGGCGAGCGCACATCTTTTCATAACGGATGTATATAGAAATCGAACTACAAGGAAATGCGGATACAAACCTGTAAAACCCGAAGAGGGCGGAGCGTGATGTGTCATAATGAATGATTTGACCACACGGAGCCCCCTAGAGGACATGAGTGCATTTACCACCAGCTGGAACAGACAGTTGCCATTCTAGTTAGTTTCACTTTCGCAAGCGCAGGCAGGAAAAAGCGAGCCGCAGAAGAAGAACTCACTCAGTTTGTTGTTGACATCAGGAGGAGGTGACAGAACAGAGACTGTCCTGTGCAGTATGGCTCAAACTTTCAGTCTATGATTTATAAGATCAGCTGACAGGGAGCCATGGGCGCATTAGCTTGTCTTTCTGTGCTGTGCTCGTTGTGGCTTTGCCCGCTGGCGTCCAGCGAACAGGTGGCATTTGTAGAGGCGTTTCTGGAAGACCATCAGCATGTTTTACAGGGCGAGGTGGTCCAGGGGAGTCTGGAGAACGACCCTATGGAAAACCACAGCAAAAACAAACATGATCTCAAAGGAGACCTCATATTAGTAAGTGATCAATGCATGCAAACAGATACTTGATATTGCAAGACATTTTTTGTTCTGAATGTCTGTTTCTTGCTCTGGCTGTTTAACTGCTTAATAATATAAAACTAAAGGAAACGAAATGTCATTTTTTTTTTAACTAATTTCATTGTTTTTCATTGTGTTTTTTTTTTGTTTTTTTTTGCTCTGGCTGTAAAATAATCGGTGTTTTATTCAATATATTTGCATTTTAACAATTTTCTCATGTGTTGACTGTGACAGCACTGTGATACAAAAAATATGTAATATTATAAATGTTTACATTTTAAATATTATATAAATATTGACTATATAGTGTTAACTTATTATAGCATAGCTGCTTTTATTTGAATAATCTGCTAAAATTTTATATAAAAGTATATTCACTTTTATCATTTTTAACATATCTTGTGCTGTGTCAGCAGTGGTACATTAAATATAAAAATACTTAAATTAAACATAAAGCTCATCTATGCCAATAACCAATATATTACCAGTATACCCCAAAAATATTAAATAATATAGACTTCATATAAAGATATATAGCATTCATTCATATGTGTGTGTATATAATATATATATATATATATATATATCATTCATTTCTATGAATAAAGTAAAACAATTTGAGCACAACTGCTTAAAATTATATAAAAATGTATAAACTATAAAACGTTTTTAAATCAAAATGAGAGAAAATGAAATGAAATGAAAGAACATTCTAGTGATCATCATCTATTTTTGATTGAAGTGGAAAAATTGATATTTTAAAAACTAATATTACATAAAGTTGTGGGACACATTTGTCAGATGTCTTAAGCATCAGTGTCATGCTTCTTTTTTTCTCTCTGCAGATAAAAGACGCTATTAAAACCAACAGTGAAAGCAGTGATGGAAAGGATCTGAACCCCTGGATTGGAGTGGTACCTGTCCAGATGGAGGAAGGCACAGTTTCCAGTAACAGCAACCAGGAGTCGTTTGCTGCCTCTGTGGTCAATAAGGTATTCAAAATTGTCATTGTGAAGACTAAAACATGATGATTAGGAAGTACTGATCAAACCGACAGCTCTGTCCTCCACAGATGAAGCGTGCTCTTGTTTTGGGTGCATCTGCTTTGATTATACTGGCTTTAAACCAGAAAACTGTCCGAGAGGTGAGAGCTTTGCTGTTCTGTTCCATAAACCTTCAGTTGATTTCATAATGGTTATTAGATATGTATAAGAATTTAAAAAAAAAAGAAAAGAAAACTGTTCTTCCTCTATAGATGGATCTCTCTCAGGTCCTCTCAAAGCCAATCATTATCATTCAGACATCAGAAAATGTCACTAAGCTCATCGGAGCACTCCTCAGGTAATCCACAGTCAAGAAATTACCGATTTTCTTCTGAATAAACAGAATATACTTTAGGAATGTGTCTTTTTCTACTTTTATTCAATTAGGGGCCTTCATGCAACGGCAAAAATCACTTACAAGTCTTTTCTACAGGACAGTCTGGTAAGATTTTACTGATAATACATTTCTATGTAGCATAGTTTCACGCTTGTTCATTAGTGTGGAAGTGTGGTATTTCTAAATGTTGTGTCAAAGGGTGTCACCTTGACCCTGTGGTCCAGCTGTGGCCGTTCAAGAGGAGGGTTGTATGGGGAATGGCAAGGGGTCATCTGCACTGGGGAGACCAACTCTCAGGTCCAGGTATGAGTGTTATGAAGACATATCATATCATCCAGGGTTACTGTCATAGCCTTACAGTCTAAAATATTTCAGTACTGTCGTGTAATCATCTTACAGTGCATCATTTTTTTCACATTTTGTTATGTTGCTGCCTTATGTTAAAATGCTTTAAATAACTTTTTTTCCATATCAATCTACACTCCATACACCATAATGGTAAAGCAAAAAACTGGGTTTTAACATCTTTGTAAATTTATTAAAAATAAAAAACTTAAATTATTCCATTGCATAAGTACTCATACCCTTATCTGGGACAGTTGAAATTTCGCTCAGGAGCATTCATATTGCTTGTAGATGTAACTACACTTCAAGTGAAGTTAACCTGTGGCAAATTCAATTGAATGGGTATAATTTGGAAAGGCACACACGTCTTAATTAAAGGTCTAACAGCTGATAATGCATATCAGAGCAAAAACGAAGCCCTGAGGTTAAAAGAACTGCCTGTAGAGCTCAGAGACAGGATTGTGTCAAGCCACACATCTGGGGAGGAGTTCAGAAAAAAATTCTGCTTCATTGAAGGGTCACAGAAGCATGTAGTCCCTGTTATCCTTAATGGAAGAAGTTTGAAACAACCAGGACTCTTTCTAGAGCTGGCCTCCTGGCCAAACTGAGCAATTGATGGAGAAGGGCTTTGGTTAGAGTGGTGAACAAGAAGCTGATGGTCATTCTAGTTGAGCTCCATGATCATATGTGGAGATGGGAGAAATCTAGAGAAGGACAAATATCACTGCAACACTCCACCGATCTGGGCTTTATGGAGGTGTGGCAAGACTCAATCCTCTCTTCAGTGTAGACATAGAGCTTGAGAGGTGAAAAGGTGAGGAGAAGAATGGTGGATAATTGCCAAATGATGATGAGAAAAGCTTGTCGCATCTAACAAAAATACTTGAGACTGTAAAGGTGCTTCAGCTAAATATTTAGTTAAGGGTACGAGTACTTATGCAATGTACTTATTTCAGTTTTTTTATTTTTTTCAATACATTTACGAAGTTGTGACAATTCTGTTTTTGCTTTGTCAGTATGGTGTATGGAGTGTAGATTGATGTGGAAAAAAAGTAATTTAAAGCAGTTTAACATAAGGCAGCAACATAACAAAATGTGAAAAAAAATGAAGGGGTATGAATACTTTCGCAAGGCACTGTATGTTTCTTAAAGGGATAGTTCACCCAAAAATGAAAACCAAGTTTGGAAGGACATGAGGGTGAGTGAATAATGACAGAATTTTCATTGCTGGGTGAACTATTCCTTTAATACTTCATGTCACTTGTTTAGTAATTAAAGAGGAGTTTCATTAGACAGCAAGGAGAATTTCTCTTCTTTTTAACTTCATTTTTGTTCATCTGTCCAGAAATATCTTCAGCAGCTCTGGAACACTGTTGTTCTGGTGGCCCTGGTCCTCTCCACAGGGGTCATAGTTAATGCACGCTGGCAGTACCAGGACAACCAGTTTAATGATGATTTGGAGGTGAACACTGCTTTTGTGACAGATTCAGTCTGAAGTTGGAAACATTTTGAAAAAGTTCATGACACTAATGTGACTAATTGAAGAAAGTAGCCATGTTAACTGAAGACTGGAAGGAGATCCCGTCAA